TTGCCCTCCCAAAGTGCGGGGATTACAGGTATGAGCCACCGCGCCTGGCCTGATTCTACAACTTCTAAGACCAGCCCCTAGCCCCACAAAGTGATAACCCAATATTTATCTTAAAATTTGAGTAAAACAGAGCTAAACTAAGTGTCAGAGTCAGGTCCAAAATCCAGCTTGGCCGCACCTGCTGCTGGCACAGTCTCTCTGTTCTCTAGGCCCGTCTCCTGATATGTACGATGGCCTCTAAAGTTCCTATTTCTCCAGCCACATTTTAGCACTTACACGCTCCTGCATTCCAGCATCTCTACTGAGCTGCAGACTGCTGCCTTCTAACTTTTTAAATGAGGTAACTGTTCTGAAGTTGAAAAAACAATTGACAGGAAACTGGAAAACCTGGCTTCAAGATGAAGCTCTATCTCCAATATGCTGTAAATTCAGACGAGTTCCTTAACTGGACCCATAATTTGTGTTGGCTCAGTTTCTTGATTTGTAAGACAATCTAATTGTCTGGCTAGGTGCTCTTTAGTGTTCAAAACAAAACGCATTACCTTTCCCAACACACTCTATCTCCTGAACTCTGATGTCGTTTAGCCAGTTTCCTGAGGATCCTCCAAGATCCCGATTTCTCCCTCTCATTCATTATGGGCTCCATCTCTGCCCCTGCTCTAATAGTTACAAGTCGTGTTTGCTTCATGCCTCTAAAACCCAGACACTGACCTCAGTGCCACTGACCTGACACAGTTCAGACCACACACCTCTCACCTGCTCTATCAGCCACCCAGTAGCCATCTCTGTTCCATTCTTTCCTCTCTTCAATCCATTCCCCATATTGCTGTCGCAGTTATCTTCAAAACACAAAAATTACCCTATCACTTCCTTGTCTAAAATCCTCTACCAGCTCCCAGCAAGCCTTACGAGTGAACAACAAACTCATGTAGGCTGTGAGCCACCTTCCTAGCCTCCCCAAAGATCCTATTGATCACCTGCTCCAGTGTGACCACGTGACTTTGTGCTGCAGCATCCTTTGGCTGGGATGCCTCACTTCCTTCTCAGATCAGTAACCTCATCCTTGAGGATGGAAAGGCTCATATGTCACCTCCTCTACCACAGCTCATACTAGTGTTTCTCCTTCGTGCTCCTTGCTACACCTCCTTGGTATCACTTATTGTGGTGAACTCTATTATCTGTTTTTGTGCCCCTCTTCCAGCAAAATGTGTCCTGATATCCATATAATGCCTGCTCTATGACAGAAGTGAAATACAGAATTTAGAGTGCAGGCTCTGGAGCCAGAGTGCCAGGGTTCAAATCCTAGCTTTCCTGCTGTGTCACCTTAGGCAATATACTTAAATCTCCCCAATCCTATGCATATATAGCTGAAAAAAGTGGAAATCAATAGTTTAAATATCAAAAAGTTATTTTTGTTTTGTTTGGGACAGGGTCTCCCTCTGTCACTCAGGCTGGAATGCAGTGGCACTATCATGGCTCACTGCAGCTTTGAACTCCTGGGCCCCAAGCGATCCTCCCGCCTCAGCCTCCCAAAGTACTGGGATTACAGGCAGGAGTCATGGCACCGGGCCCTCAAAGGGTTATCAGAAAGACAAGAGATAATGTACATGAAGTGCTTAGCACTCTCCCTGGGGTAGCAGTGCTAGAAAAATACAAATAATCCTAATATTAATAGTAGCAGCAGGAGAACAAGAACATTAATAGCTAACACTGACTCAGCCCTTACTGTATGTGAGGCATATGCACAGACCGTTACACGTGCCACTCATTTTGCGTCCACTACATCACGCGTTGGGTACTATTATCGTCACCATCCCCATTTTTGCGTATGAGAAAACTGAGAGCACAGAAAGCTTGAGTAACTGCCCCAAAGTCACACTACAGAACCAGAATCTCAGCCAGGTTCCAGAGGCCTAGCTTTTCCTGACCACGCTTAGATGCCTGAGTGGGCAAGATATGCTAAATTATCAAGCAATCTGTAAACGTTTTGTTTAAGGGTCCGGAACAAATCTGTCCAAGGAAAAATGCTAAAACGTGCTCAGATGAGGAAATTCACCAAATCGCTGGGTAGCGTAAACACGAATGGTTTTTCCTCCCGAATTTTGTTTTGCTGCTTCCCAACATTTTTCCGGACCTCGGGGGGAACAAGGTGCGAAAGTAAACCCTGCCCGGGGGCCGCCCCGCCCCAGAGCCCCGAGCCCAACCCCGGCACGCCCCGTCCGAGTCTATCCGCCCCTCACGTTGAAGGCAGGCAGCTGCCCTTCCGGCGCGCGGTGCAGCTCGCGGATCAGTTCCATGGCTTTCTCGCAGAACATGGCGGACGCTTTCCGCTTTTGCAGCCTTGCCAACTGCCAGCTCTCACGCCAAAACGGTAACTGCGCTCTGGGCCGCCTCACTCCTTTGGTTCTAAGACCTACAGCGCCAGGCTCTCGCCTCCGCCTCTGCTCTTTGGCGCCAAACAAAGCTAGCCAATAGGAACGTGGCCTATGGCGCCCGAAAAGGGACATCCGCCGCTCAGCCGCATTCCAGGAGGGGCGGAGTGAGAGGGATCCTTCCAAGGTGAGGTCCCCGCCCCGGAGATGGGAGAACCTCTCGACTGAGCAGAGAGGGCTTTTCGAGTTCTCAGGCGGCGGGCCGGGCGACTCTACAGGCAGCAGAGCTGGAAATAAATGCACGCCCCGCAGCTTGCTTCTCATTTTCCTTTTCATTCTTGTTTAGGTTCAAGGGGGCACTTTGAGGTTAAGTGGAAAGGCCCAAAAACTTGGTATGCATTGGTAGGACGCAACCGTTTCAGTTTTGCAGTGCGGGTTTTCTGTTTGATATTAAAATGAAGCTATCTTTTATTGGGTACCTAGTACTGGTAGGGACTGCAGTGTATTTCATTCTCACGATTATCTCTGAAGTGTTTTAAGACCCGGGATTAATAACAAAACAGAAGTTAGGTAACTGGCCCAAGGTCACACAGCTCCAGAGTGGTTAGACATTTAGGCTTTCCATTTCTAACACCACAGTACCACTCTTTGATTTTAAAGCAGTCGTTTAAAATATTTGTAGTATCTGCCTTAGAGTAACACGAATTCACTAGGCGTTTTCTTGGCTAGATGGTTATGGAATATTTCTTAACCATATAGAATAGAAGATGGGAATCACTGCTAAAGAATTGTTTTATTAGGCAGTTTTTCAAAAAGCAATGTTAATTTCTAACAAGCAAGCTTGGATTAATTCTAGCTAACCCTATAAACTATGTTGATCTTTTGCAAATATACAGTAGGTATGTCATCTGAGGAATGGGCATGGGAATGGCCTAGTCAGGCTTATGCTGAATAACCACATTG